TATTTACATATTTAGTACTTTTTATCGCAACTTTAGTGCTAAATTCAAAAAAAAAAAAAAAAAATGGCATAGTATTCTATTTGTAATAGTTAAAGCTATATGTGAAATTTCAGAACTTTTTTAATATATTCTAGTACTAATTTAAAAAAAAATATGTTTGCCCATCATTCTACTTGTAATAGCTTAAGTTACATACCAAAATTCAGATATCTATCCCTACCTGTTTCATCGTAGTATAATATTTAGTACTAATTTGCAAAATTTGTTCACACATTCTGATTTGTTTATAAATGACAAAGCTGCATACCAAATTTTAGAGTTGTAGTTCCAACCGTTCTGGCGTAATATAGTTTTTAGTACTATTTAGTACCATATTAGTTCTAATTTCCAAAAATTATTTTTTGTACATCATTTTATTTTTAATGACTTAAGCTACATACCAAATTTCAGACATCTATCTCTACATTTTCCATCGTAGTATAATATTTAGTGCATTTTAGTACCTTTAGTACTAATTTCCATAACTTGTTCACAAATTCTGATTTGCTAATCACTGACAAAGCTGCATACCAAATTTCAGAGTTCTACTTCCAACCGTTCCGGAGTAATACAGTTTTAGTATTTTTTAGTACCTTTTAGTACTAATGTCCAAAAAATATTTTTGCACAGTATTCTCTTTGTAATGGCTTAAGCTCCATACCAAGTTTCAGTTATGAATCTTCACCAATTCCATTCAAATACAATATTTAGTACTTTTTAGTACATATAAGTACTAAATTCCAAATTTTTTTCACAAATTCTAGTCCGCTCGCCATAGACAAAGTTACGTGCCAAATTTCAAAGTTCTACATCTAACCGTTCCCGCGTAATACAGTTTTTAGTACTTTTTAGTACCTTTAAGTACGAATTTCCAAAAACCCCGCCTTATCACACGCCTACTCACCAAACCCCACCTACATGCCAAATTTCAAGCTTCTAGCTTTAGCCGTTTCGTCTGGGCGTTGATGATCAGTCAGTCACTTATAACGCAACTCTTTTATATATATAGATTAAAACATTTTAAATTTATTATGTCAATGGTCATATTTAATAAGTCCAAATGTAAGTTCGGTCCATGGTGTATTAAGAGATGTGGTCATTGTAGTGACGTGGTTACAATTGATCATTTGGGGTTTTTAGAAAATTAAAGATCAGTAGTGTTGGCGGTTTATTTGGGATACCATTTGTATTTTGTTTTTGCAAAATAGTCAGGCTGAATCCCAGTTTGTTGTTTTTATAAAAAACAACTATTTATTAGTGGGGAATGTATGGCATTGTTTGCCGAGGGGTAAGGCAGGGAAGACTATAGTTTCGGACCACGCCACTGATCCTCATCAGTTCCCTTAGTTTTTTGTTGGGATATTCTCCCCAGAAGCTATTGCTTCTATACAAAAAACCTTTCATACCCAAATGTCTCTTGTAACAAAGCGAAGTACTTAGCTGACCAACGACATAAACTGCATGAGAATTTCGCTGGAGCCTCACTTCGAGGTTAACAAGGCATTTACAAACAATACCACACCTTTCCCACTGTTGTGTGTTGTCACATCGCGACAAATGCACACAACGACTTTGTTGGTGTTGCTAGTATACAGCAACAAACCAAACAGTTCAACCGTGCCTGCGTCTACAACTTCAGTAGTGTTGGCGGTTTATTTGGGATACCATTTGTATTTTGTTTTTGCAAAATAGTCAGGCTGAATCCCAGTTTGTTGTTTTTATAAAAAACAACTATTTATTAGTGGGGAATGTAATGGTATCCCAAATAAACCGCCAACACTACTGAAGTTGTAGACGCAGGCACGGTTGAACTGTTTGGTTTGTTGCTGTATACTAGCAACACCAACAAAGTCGTTGTGTGCATTTGTCGCGATGTGACAACACACAACAGTGGGAAAGGTGTGGTATTGTTTGTAAATGCCTTGTTAACCTCGAAGTGAGGCTCCAGCGAAATTCTCATGCAGTTTATGTCGTTGGTCAGCTAAGTACTTCGCTTTGTTACAAGAGACATTTGGGTATGAAAGGTTTTTTGTATAGAAGCAATAGCTTCTGGGGAGAATATCCCAACAAAAAACTAAGGGAACTGATGAGGATCAGTGGCGTGGTTCGAAACTATAGTCTTCCCTGCCTTACCCCTCGGCAAACAATGCCATACATTCCCCACTAATAAATAGTTGTTGTTTTTTTTTTTTTTTATAAAAACAACAAACTGGGATTCAGCCTGACTATTTTTCAAAAAAAAAAAAAAAAAAAAAAAAATTAAAGATCTATTTAAATATATTTGTCAATATACATCTCTGAATTGATAAATTCCACATAAGTAGCTGTAATTTATGCCCTTGTTTTCCAGACGATGTAAAAGTTAATGTTCTATAAAAAAATTACCCTAAAATTGATAGTATCAATTGAAAATATCGCTTCACTTATTTTATCTAAACCACTAATAATTGTTTATGTTATTTTGGGGATTTCAGACACGTTTTCCAACATAATTGGCTCCAATTTTATATATTGGGTGGTAAAACTTCCAATTATATATCGATGTCCTATGTTAGCTCAGGAATAGTTCAGGCAAGGTTTTTAACGACTTTTATTGGGCAGTGATTAATCTTTAGGTATATCCCCCATATAACATTGCCTACCACCTTTCGGTATTTGGGGGAGTTGGGGCACATTTTTCAACAAAATTGGCTTAATTTTTATATTTCGGAATTTCTGCGGGGTCGTAAACACCGGAGTTGCTGTCTTGTATATAATCCACGAGCATTTTATTGAGGATGTCTACGGAATTACTGCCTAGTGGAGCATTTTTTTATTACATTTATAATTTTTCAAAATTGTGACATTTTGTGGGGTGGTACCAGAGATGATGAACCTAAATAAACGATAATTGCAATAAATCTGCAATTTGTTGATCGTACAGGAACTACTTTTATATTGACTTTATTGTTATACTTGGTTGAAAATCACTAATAATAAAGTTTTACTGTAGAACGTATTATTCGTTATTTTGAGCACGTTTTTTTACATATTGGCTTTTTTCACATTTTTGGTTCCTACCAAAAATTATGAATATCGCCTCACGTTTTGGTATAATTTCCATACAAAAATATCGCCCTATTGTGTTCCTAGGCATATTTAACAGCCTAGATGGCTGTCATTTGGCATTCCGTTTTCGTTGTCGGTAAAAAGCTTTACATAACGCGGTCAATACGTTGATGGTCCGAGCCCAATTTAACAACCCTACTCATACATGTTTCGACATAGATCACTTCCTGGAGGTAGATATAAAAAATTTAGGCCCAAGAGAACTTGACATGTTCACTTGTTAAGACTCTTTATATTGATGTTGAGGAAACACCATATGTTTCTACGAATATCAGAGATAAATACTCCATAACATGAATTTAATTGAGGTCTGTAGAACTCTATTTTTATATTTTGCAAAAATGTACCATTAATTTTTTGTTTGTTTTAAATCTTTGACTCTTGCGTGGAACTTCTTGTTGGTAGGCAGTGATTGCACCTATCTTGCAAGCTTAATGAAGCGCATCGAATATGCTCACATTGCAATCAACGCTTTGTTTTGATTTTCAATTATCAGCCTTTATTTAATTACAAAATCGAATGACTCATATGCCATTCTCCTGGACTCTTTGTGATATTAAAAATATTCCATAAGTTTTGAATTAAGTAAATAAACAGTAATATTATTACAATTTCATTGTTTACGATAAAATAAAATATACAGATCAACTAGCAATGTTTGTCAAAGTCATATCCTTATCGTAAATGCAATTTATTGAGGAAATAGGGAATTATAGAAAGGAAAAAGAAATAGGAAGTTATTTTAAAGATGTTAATAACACAACTATTTTGCAAAAGCAAAACTAAAGCAATTGAAATCGCAAAGTGAATAAATGACCTGTAATTTTCTTAAAAAATAAAGTTATAGTGAAAGTTTTTTCAAAAATAAATAATTTATTCGCTTAAAAAACACAAAATATAAACGCAAAATTTATATTGAAATAAAAAATATTCTATGGAACTAAAGCAACTTATTGATTTTTTCTTATAAATAAGCAAATTTTGCTAGTAATCGACAGCATAACCATTATTTTTCATTACGGCATCGGACCTACGAGACATTGAATCAATAAAATATTCAATTTGATCCTTGGGTGTACTATTCCTCGCATCCTGAACCTTTGGGATGGGGTTATGTTTGTTTATGAATCCATTTTGATTTTGCTATCTATGATGCCTCAAAGATTTTTCTTTAGGGTGAAGATCTGATAATTGTGCTGGCCTTAATAAATCCCTTGTTTTTGACTACCGCAACAAATCTATGACATGTTTCACTGTATGTTTGAAATTATCGTCAAGCTAAAATCCCAAGCAAGCGGTATATTATCTTCAGCGAAGGAAGCCATAACATTTTGAACACATTTGCATGAACAATCCGATCCATTACTTTATAAATCTCGTAAATAGATGGAACTCCATTAAAAGAAGAACATCCCAATACCATTATTAATCCAAATTAATTTCATAAATACAAATACGATATTTCTGGGATTATTTGCATTTGTTAAACATAAAAATTCTCACATTGACATCCCTAATGACTTGCTATAATACAACAAATATATGCACGAACATTTGTTTTCGTTAAATTTATAACAGCCGTGAACTGGACTGTTCGTTCAGTCGTTTTAAGCTTTTCGATACGGCAGTGTGGACGCTTCGGAAGAAAGTTGAAAGTTGAGTTGATAAACGCAAACATACAACGAAATATTTATTTTCAACGCACAAAAGGTGATTCCATTTTTGTTGTTGTTGTAGTTGATATTCAACGACCGATAATAAAGACACGGCATATACAAATCAACGCACATACATATATAAATTAAAATACTCTGTTATTGTTTATAAACACTTTTTGTTTTGCTTTTGGTCAGATGGCAGATGAGTCAATACCTATTTGTGGTGGCATTTCACCGGTGTCCGATTTTAAAGATGTTGAGAAGGCCCTAAATAATTCTTTGTCTAAATTGGCTGGTGGTGATGGACCCAATTACAAGTAAGTCTTTGTCTAATATCAACATTTGTAATGCTAGTATAGTTTTTTAATATGATTTTCTTTGTTTTCAGATTGGTGAAAATTTACTCAGCATCGAAGCAAGTTGTTTCGGGTACACTAACCCGAATCGAGGCAGATCTTATGGATGAAAATGGCCAGATAAAAAGATTTAAAATTTCAATTTGGTCGCAACCATGGTTGAAAAACGGCATTCAAGTTACATTTGAATGCGATGGGGAGCCAGCTGTGGTCAGAAGTCATGATCCCTGAGGGGACATTTGAATGTGTTGCATTTTTTATTATTATCAACAATATTTATTCAGTCTGGTTGTTTTTATACATTTATGATATTATATTTATATCTGTGATACTATAAAATGTACATTTCAATTCATTTTGAAAAAAGGGCCGACTAGCACATCTGAGTGCATACGACCATATAATTGGTATCAATTTAAAGTTCTCTTGGATATACTATCAACTTCTCAACTTCTATGTCCATACGCCATAGAATACAAATATTGTAATTTTTCACACAAAAGTCAGGGTCCATTTGACGTGTTTGCAAATTATAATGGACAGACGGACGGACGGACACACATGTCTAGATCGACTCAGCTAGTCGAGAGATGACGATCGGTATACTTGTGTCTAGGACCAATATTTCGTGGCGTTACAAACTTTTGGGGCTGCACAATGCTATAATACCCTGACAACATAGTTGTGTAGGGTATAAAAAACCACGCTTATGGAAATAATAAAAAATACTTTTAAAAGATCCACGCTTAGGGAAATAATACGAAAATATTAAAAAAATCAGCGCTTGTTTTTATGGAGATTATAACAATTTTTAATTCCAATTAATTTAATTCCACCTTCGTGGAAATGATTTGAATTCAAGTATATACAAGTATTTCCCATTCGCAATATCAAACATACTAGAAGCAATATCAATATACACAATTCCAATGTCCTATCTCGAATTTTCCTATCTCTATAGTAATTTTAACTGACGGGATCTCCGACGAATATTTTGAGGTGTTGCAAACAGAATGACACATTGAATATATACTCCATCTTATGGCGGAGGGTATACAATTTGGAAATGAATCATAAAAAAATCATCTTAGTCGGATAATATCTGCAACCTATACTATAATTACGAAAATACCTGGATAGACGGATCGATAAATCGATTCAGAAGATGATTCATAGAGTATTCTCAAAAACACTAAATATGTTACCCTCTACTTTAATTCTGCATGTTACAAATAAATGCACAAATGTATAATATACTACACCGCTGTGTGGTATAGGGTATAAATAAAATACAAATATAACTTAATTGTCGATAGCCACCAGGCGAATTCATTGTTATCGTGTATAAAAAACGAAGCACATTGTAATTGTCTATCTATCCAGGGAAGTGCAATTCATAATAAACATTGGTGTAATGGAAAATATTAAATGTGTCACAACACTGATAAAATCTATATTTTGCTATGAAATACATTCAACACTTATGGTTGGGCAAGGGATAAGAGATTGATAGTTGGACTAAATATGAAATGTGACAGAATAACGCAAACAAAGACAATCAGTGTGGATGACATTTAAAGTGCAGTTGAAATCTATTCAATTTTGATTGCTTCACTTTAGTATGTCAATGTGTGCTAATACATACATTCGGATATTATTTTATTTGTATCAGGAAAAATATAATATATATAAATTAAGAATTAAATAAATTATACCATAACAATATGGGCCAAAAATACCAGTTTTTGGCTATAATAGAATCAGAGGGTTTATGAAATAAATATCACATATAAGTGTTTCGGGGACGCTGATTACGATTTTGCAAGAAAAAAAGAATTAAGTAGGATGGATCGAAATAAACTTTTTTAAAAATTTAATTATTAAAAATGGTTTATAAACACGTTTTATAGAGCTTTTGAAAATCAAATAAAATTAACCAAACTTTGGATTAATCAGACTTTTAAAATCAAATAAAATTAACCAAGAATTAGCGGATCAAACATAAGGAAATGTTAAAGAAAAAATACATATTGTATATATTCGTGATCAGAGTTGATTCCTGTCGAATTTATAATGCCCGTCTGTCGAAATAACGATAGAGCTCGCAATTTTTTAAGAAACTTGGGGTCTAAACCCGTTTTTACGCTGAAGTAAATTTTTATCGTAACATAATTCATAAGGCTGGGAATATAAAATTGTCAATATCAACCCACATAACGTAAAGCCCCCATATAACGGAACCCCAAATTATCGGTATTTTTTGAGAATTTCAGATACGTTTGTCAACGAATGGTCCTAGGCGAATTTTACAACCGAAGTGATATATATTATTGACTGAACTTTTTCTATATAAGTAAGTCCCTGTTTCTTCATAGACACCATACGAATGACACGTGCCATTTCACGTGTCCAAGGTGCTAGTTCAATTTTAGAATCTGTGTGTTTGCAGTTTTTAATTTTGTATTCTCCTGGCAGAAATTTACGATCGAACGGCCCATTCGACCTTTTACTTATATTTATTTTTATTTGATTTAATTTTTTGTAATGTACCAGATTACCAATTAGATTAAATGGGGTACTCCCTTCGAATTAACGGGCGCAACACATAAGAAGAGTTGATCGACTCTAAGTGAACTGAAATTGATTTTTTATTAATTTATCTTTCGAGATGAGCTACATGATCGGAGTTGCAATGAAAAGGAAAGCCAGAGAGATACTACATTCCCACCACTATGCGACGCGTTTCGCCGTTGGTTAAGCGGCTCAACAGGCATACTGGGCAATGTGGCTTACAAATGTCTTTACTTGATAAGTTGTATTTATGTCGACTATTGTTGCGAAATTGCATCTACGAATTAAATTCAACTGTGTCAAGGTTCGGACATTTGGCATCACACCGGAACATTCCTTTTCGGAGCAGATTTTTCTTGTAGTGACGGACTTTTTTTCCATACAGACTACAATATTTGTCTTCAATGGTATGCAACTGCATATTGTGCAACCTTAGGAAGATAAGGAGGTGGCTTTGAACGCTAAGGCGCCGAACACCAACAGATGCCATGGGAACCAGGGTTCAAATCCCAGCCGGGCTCAAGCTGAATTTTTGAGTTTTGTTTTTATGCCTTATTAGGGCGAAGGATCATTCATGTAAATGCTTTTTATTAATTTCTCTTTCGAGATGAGCTACATGATCGGAGTTGCAATGAAAAGGAAATGGATTTCGTCCTAACAACCTTAGGATTTTCACCGTTTACAGGCTTACGGAATAAGCAAATATGTCCGGTTTTGTTTCTTAATCAGAAGCATGCTTTAATATGGCCCACAACGTTTATTGGCAATGACGTTAATATTTTTTCTGGAAACTTACAGCTAAGCTACTTTGCACAGACATAGCTATTTGCATACTTTGCAGATGTTACCACTGCGTAAGTGAAACCTCACATACCTACTAAACTAATTGGCATATTGACTGGAAACAATGTCTCATTGTCTACAGATTTTAATGTGTAAATTGTTTAAGCCAACAATCAAAATGTTTATTCTGATTTTTGACGACATTTCGAGGCTACATTTATCTAAGAAAATTGGTTAGCTTCTTCGGTTAGTATTATTCCGTCACTCAAGATATAAACACGCAGCTACTGGAAACACAATGTACAAATTTTCTACTCTTGTATATTTTGGATTGATTTTGATTTCGTCGATTGATGGACAATTTTTGGATAATTGTGAATTGGTAGGTTATTCTACAGTAAAATTGTCAATTGACTTAAAAAATAATTTAATTTTGTTATAGAGCGGTTATCGTAGAAGTGGCCGAAGAGAATTGGCAAGAATTGAATTAATGAGCGCCGAGCATGAATTACGTTCAGTTCTAATTAAATTGGCGGAAACTGATGATGGTCCTTTTTATAGGTATGTAATCAATTTTTATTAAATTTACTTTGTTTTTGTAACAAATGCGAACTTCTCTTACAGAATTGGTGCAGTTTTTGGTGGTAGTGAACAAGCGGTTGCGGGTTCCTTGAAAACATTGGATGTCCAATTGTTGGATTTAAATAATTTTAAGCATAATTGTGAAGTTGATTTGTGGACTAGACCATGGAAAACGGATGGCATTGAAGTTGCCTTAAGATGTGAATGTATGCGTACTATATATAAACATCTTGATTACTAATGTTTGTATATGTTGAGTGGTATTTCTAATCTTTAAAGACTGATATAAATACAATAAATGTTCTGTTTTGACGAGTAAATAAAATATTGATAACAAATATTGTTTTTATTTAAATGAAATTATGTTTATAGCCTCCGCTATAAGAAGAATGTATATTAGATTTGTCGTAGACCTCGAAATATTTAGTAAAGACCCCATAATGTATATATATATATATATATATATATATTCTTGATCAGTTTAGTAGTGTTGGCGGTTTATTTGGGATACCATTTGTATTTTGTTTTTGCAAAATAGTCAGGCTGAATCCCAGTTTGTTGTTTTTATAAAAAAAACAACTATTTATTAGTGGGTAATGTATGGCATTGTTTGCCGAGGGGTAAGACTATAGTTTCGGATCACGCCACTGATCCTCATCAGTTCCCTTAGTTTTTTGTTGGGATATTCTCCCCCGAAACTATTGCTTCTATACAAAAAACCTTTCATACCCAAATGTCTCTTGTAACAAAGCGAAGTACTTAGCTGACCAACGACATAAATTGCATGAGAATAAAATTCTATGTCGATTTATGCATATCTTGGATGTGTGCTTTGGATCATTGTACTGCTCATAATAATTTTTCCTACAGGATAGGCGTTCTTATCTAACAAAACCGGTAGATATGACTACAAAGATCACAATAGAATTCTTTCATTATTATATTGTCAAGTTTTTTACATCGGTCCAAGGTCCCACAAGTTAAAGTCAACCCATACCACGATGATTTCTCAACCTTGATTTACATTCCGCCTTTGAATTAGTTTTCATCGGCAATTATGCTAATCGTCGGATTGAAAACGGTTGAATTTGGATTCGTCGGACCGATCATACAGTTTAACTTTTTGGATTGGTTTTATCCCGTTAATACCCTGACAACTATGTTGTCAGGGTATTATAGTTTTGTGCAGCCTCAAGGGCTGCACCCGCCTTTTAGTATACCGATCGTCATATCTCGACTAGCTGAGTCGATCTAAACATATGTGTCCGTCCGTTCTGTCCGTCTGTTCATTATAA